TCTACCACACTCCCAAGGAAAACATAAAGAAACTTCTTGTTCCTCCGTAGTCCGTCACTGCAAATCCCGCATATGAATACGCAATATACCACCCCATGCTATGCTACGAGTACATCGAATAGCTCCCCTGCTCGTATGCATCGTCATGCTCCGGCAAAATATCAAAGTCATGCTTCTCATACCAGTTCATCCCAAAACACAATCAAAACCAAGACAAAATTCAAAATCCCAACACCTAAAAAAAACGTCCGAAAATAATCAATCGCATACCAACTCTTCCAAATCACCAAGAAAAGTCCCAAACACTAACTCTCCAAAACACTACCATCTCCACTTGACTCTCTCCATCTCTTGATCAAGCCCGTACATATCCTCTCTTTTCCACTCCGCGGCAAAACACGATGTGATCCCAAAACACTCCTTTCACTGCAAATTCATCACAAAGTCTGTGCAACGCGAAAGATTCTTTGCTGATAGCCTTCGTCAAGAAATCTGCATGCTGAAACTCCGACGTCACATGCGTAATCGAAATCTCCTTCCTCTCTACCAGTTCCCTGATAAAGTGATGCCGTACATCGATGTGCTTCGAGTTTGAGTTCGTGATCGGGTTGTGCGCAATCTGAATCGCTCCCTGATATCCTCGAAGACCGGAATGCACGGCATACCTGCATCTGGCAACATAAAACGCCAAACCTGCCTCAAGAAAAGCACTTCCTTCAAGACGTCGGCAATTGCCACATACTCTGCTTCCGTTGTGGAGAGCGTGACGCACTTCTGCGTCCTCGAAAACCAAGTCACACACCCACCCCCACACATCACTAGTCCTCCTGAGACCGACCTACGGTCTGCCGCCTTGCTTGCATAGTCGGCATCCACAAACACCTGCATGCTCATACCTGTCACGACGCCCCTCTCAAACGTAATCCCCATCCAACTCGTCCTACGCACGTACCCTAAAATACCGAGTGCTGCCTTCCAGTGCACCATCTTGGGAGACGCGCAATACCGCGCTGCTCGTACTGCATTCGCGATGTCCGGCCTGGTTTGAGTGGCCAACCACATCAGGGATCCTACCAACTCGCGAAACGGGACATCAGCACACGCTTCGTTCTCGTCAAAGTCGGTGAGCTTCACGCTCACAGGCAAGGGCACACTCTTCCCCCACTCAACGCCGTACTCTGCAGCCAACTCTTCTGCGAACCTTTGCTGCGAGATCCTCAAAAGGCCTCTCCCTAGATCTCTCTTATAAAAGCACGCGGAGTACCACCTCAACCCCCCAAGGTTTTTCACGGGGACCATCTCGTTGAGGTC